CACCAATGAGGATATCGGCCTTTCCCATTAAGACTAGCACTTAGTGTATGTGTACTGCATCTCATCAGTAAACGGTATTGTGATATCGGCATGCATAAGTGGGTGCTCGTAAGTTGACGAGTTCACTGAACTCCCTCACCCTAGAAATCTCTAAGTGGTTCCCAATAATCGAGTAGAGATATCTATGGTATAGTTGTACACCATTAGTCCTTATGACCTAGACATCACCGTGACTTCACTAGAGGACCAGCTGTATCGTGACCTGTCCCTGAGTTCCACCGAGGACCATCCCAAGGGCCAGTGTTCGTGCAGTCCGAAATCTAGTGGGAGGTCTGTGCATTGTAGTCGGGGATTCGATCGCTAGAATAGTCTTGGATGTCCTGTGTGTTCTGAAAGTTTGTAATCATTCTAAGTCTCTGGCCAGAGCTGACTAAGTGATGATTAGAGAATTCGATTCTCTAAGTCATGCACGTAAGGATTACAACACTTGGAACGATCGCACCGTCATCGAACAGATAAAGAGGTCTCGATGAACCAATGCCTCTAGTTCGATCGGGACATATGAATCGAAGGGACCGTACTGTACGTTGACTATATCTGAAGGTTCTTGCAGGCACTTCATTTGTATCTAGGGAATCATGACGCGTAGTTGCTAGACGCCAATCTTGATTCGTTGGGTGATTAAGGTGAAACGAGCTTCATCTTAATCGTAACTCTAAGGGACGAGTTTTGACCACAAAGAGTTGTGGGCCCACGGCTAGCTTACACTTGAACCATCGAGGGTCACACTGCTCGTGCACATGAGATCTTTGAATAAACGGTCAGAGATAAAATAGTTTATCTTTGCATGATTGGAAGTCAATATGATTGAGTCCAACATTCGTAATTTGGAATTATGAATGAGAATAAGAAAAGGAAAAGAATAGGCGAACGTGTTAGTGAACTTTCTAAATCGGGAAGTTTCCAAATTTAGAAAGCGCACTGAACTAGGGTTTCCACTTTTGGAAAGTTGGAAAATGAAAGATGGCACTCGTAATGACGAGGAAGTTATAATGAATCCGAAAATGTAATCGTTGCAATTTTTCGGTCATTGAATTAAGAGAGACGAGCAAGTAAAGATACTATCGGACTTAAGCTGTTGGGCCCGGTCCAACTTAAGCCCGCTAGGGTTTTATGCAAGACATATAAATACTTGATTTATAGGTCTTGCACAAGACATACAACACAACCCTAACCCTAGCCGCTACACTCTCTCTCTCTCGGCCTCTCTCCCATCGGCCACCACCGCGCCGCCGTTGCTCCGCCGTGACCGGAATCGGCCATCAATTGGCCGATCCTTTTCGGTACTCTTTTCTTCTTTCTTTTTCTTCCGTTAATTCTAACTACTTCGTGTCTAGTGCCACGTTTTAGTACATCGAAGTATACGAGGTGAAATCCGAGAGGAGGAAGATTGAAGAATCGAAGAACAGCCATCAAGCCGACGACGCACGCGACACACGCGCCGCCTCGAAGTCCGCGCGTGAGATACACGCGCCGCCGTGCCGATCTGCTGCTGCCGCCGTTGCACCGCTGCTGCCCCGATTGTACGGATTGGTTTCCGTAGCAATCTCGACTTGCTAAACGCTCCTACCTCACGCTTCAAGAGGTAAATACACGAAACCCTAGTTTCGGTTCGTTTAGATTTAAACTATGATTTCATGTTTGCTATCGTATGATTTTATGTGATTATATGTAATCGTTTTAATCTTTGCAAGCATGTTAATTGGTTTAAACGCGAGCATGTTAATTGATTTAAATTCGGTTAAATTATTTAGCATGTATGTTGTTTTTAATTTCGCTGGAAGCGCAAAGGTACGCAATTAATTGATTTAATTTGTCGGGCATGTACATATGTGATTTAAAGTCGTTTAATTCGCATAAAATTTTTGTTTTCCGCTGCGTATGCGTGCCCGAAACCCAACAGACAGAATCTACGCCCACGGCCTCTAAATCGGCCCATATTTCTATTTTGACTAGCATGTGCTTCAGGCACAGCTTGTGACCCACGTGGTCGGAAATCATGATTTTTCAACAGCAGTTCATTTGTTTTTTCTGCTGTGAGGAGTACAGAGATCAACTCAGAATATGTTTTAAACTGGCGTTGCCTGTAATGTTGTTGGAGCACCAAGTTCGATGCATACATAGTAGAAAAAGTTTTCTCCAATTTATCATATTCAGATATTTTAACTCCACACAAGGCTAATCGGGACTCAAGTTTAAACAGTGCCGAATTATAGTCGGCAACAGATTTGAATTCCTGCAGCATTAGGTGCTGGCAATTATATTGGGCCTGTGGGAGAATCACAGTTTTTGTGTGATCAAACCTCTCTTTGAGTTTTTGCCATATTTCTGATGGCCTTTCAAGTTGTATATATTCGTCTTTCAAATCCTCAGAAAGATGATGGAAGATATCATGTATCTTCTCTAATAATAACATATATTAAAAACACGTATATTAATTAGTTAGAGGCATAATAGTGATAATTAAGAGTTTTTAATTAATAAAAACTCTTTTGGATTTATCTTAAAAATGAAAAAATAAATTTAGGCCTAATGTAATAACTCTTGTGTAATGAGGGGGTTTTGTCAAATTATACTAGTAGATCCCTTGTAGTTATTATCTGCTCAAGAACAAATTTTAATGAATCTACATAATTAATTAATACCCAGTATACATTTGGTTAATTTTGATAGTTATTAAACAACATTAAATAGCATGGGTAGTTGTAAATTTTCAAATAATTTTCTTTTTTTATAAATAGACAAAATTTAAAGGGGAAATATGCAATACCCCTCATTTGAAAAATATTTTGAATTAAATTCAATTGACTTTAAAGACTTTTCTTATAACCCAAATTTCAATCTAAATTAGTGAGACCCCCCTTACCAGATATGATAAAACTAAAATGCCCCTATGTGTTAGGGTTTTAATTTTATTCCTCATTCCTTGTATCACTCTCACGTTCACACACACTTTCTCTCTCTCACGTTCACTCTCTATGTTCTCTTTCTTCTTCTTTTTTTTTTCTTTTCTTTGCAGATCTGTATTACCGCGGACGCTATCCATCGAGATTTACACCAGCGTCGCCGCCATCCTTCTCCTTTTCACACCACCGCCATTATCCACTCACCCAACCGCCGATCACAGCCGCCGCCTAGGGTTCTGCCGTCAAACCTCCCCAAAAACTCATGTTGTCGCCTCCTACACACCACACCATCCCTTGCCGGCGGAAAACAAATCACTTTATCGTATATGTAGGAATATGTGGGTCTGTGTGTGTGTTTTGTATGTGTGTGTGAAATATTGTCTCTCTCTTTCTCTCTTATGTTTTTTTTTTTCTTCAGATCCGTCTCTTGTGATTTTGTATGTGGGTCAGTAGATCTGTCTCTTGTGATTTTCTTTTTCTTTGCATATGTCTCTTGTGATTTTTAGATTTTGGATCTCTTGTGACTTTGTATGTGGGTCTGTGTGTGTATGTGTGAAATGTATGTGTGTGTGTGTGTGTGTGTGTGTGTGTGTGTGTGTGTGTGTGTGTGTGTGTTTTGTATATGTGTGTGTGTGTGAAATATTGTTTTGTGTGTGTGTTTTATTTTCAGTATTTTTTGAATTTATTTTTATTTTTCAGATCTGTATTAGAGTTTTAGATTTGAACAACAGTAGTAATATGACTATTGTTGAATATGACTGTAGTCATATTCGAATATGTTCCATTTTATCGTTTCATGTTGACTTGTAATAACAAGATTCAAATTGTGATTTTTTTTGTGTGGATGTTGATTAGATTGTTTTCGTAAATAATAGACAATCTTCGTTGTCGTCTTTTTTTTTTCCCAGATAGAAGATAGAACAGCAAAAGTAACATGACTACAACATGACTATAGTCATATTCGAATATGACTATTGTTGAATATGGCTGTAGTCATATTCAAATATGTTATATCTTATTATTTCAAGTTGACTTATAATAACAAGATTGAATTTTTTTTGTGTGGATGTTAATTGGATTGTACCACACTATATAATCAGATTTTTTAAGTTAAAAATGTACAAAACCGCAATATAAAAAAAGAATATGACTACAATTGAAATAGTCACATATAGTCATATTCGGCCTAATAAATCTGTTGAGAAAAAAATTCAATTTTTTGTTTAAAAAAAATATTTTATTAAAAAATAAAAATAAAAAAATAAAAAAGTGCTTATATCCGAAATAATAAATAAAAAAATAATTTTTTTTATTTGGTTGCAGATTTTTAGGAATTAGGAAAAAAAAAGGAATAATTGGGACAAAATGTGCTAATTGATATAAGGGTAGTATTGGGAATAAAATTTCTAGGGGTTTATCACAAAGAAAGATTCACCATTTATTAGCGATATGAGGGCTTATCGCTAATGACCCCAAATTTAAATGGGTCTTTTCTATGCGACACCAAGTGAAAGTTACACCAACTGTATTCTACCGTTGATGGACACACATCAATATTGGTATATGTGTGTGTGTGTGTTTGTTTGTGTGTAAATGAACAATATAGATCAACCGGTGTACTCGACTGGGTGTAGCATAGTACAAACGTTGATAATCATCCATCCTAAAACATTGATTGCTATTGAATATACAAATACTAACAAAAAAACCTACATTTTGGATGAATTATTCGGATCTAAAAATTTCTATTAGTTCATCAAAAATATGAGAAGTAACATAAAAACAGTACCTAAAATGATAAAATATACTGAAACAGAAACTGAAAGCTGAAAAGGTGTGACAAGAATTCGATCGAAAAGGTAAATAAAACAAGTTTGTATTATACGCTTACGTTGAATATGTTAACGAAACAATATCTCTACATTCCCCCAACATTAAAAGATTTTTTTTTTTTAAATGGTGGTAATAAATCAGCATATCATATGCATACATTACTACTGATGGATAATAAGCTAAGTATGATGACAAGCAGGGTAACATGAAACCATAACACTGAATTTACTATTGAAATAAATGTGTCCTACTGGCTACTCCTACACTATAATCGAGGGAAATGCAATTTATATAAAATTCAACATACACTATTTCATTCAAGAAGCAAAAGAATAACACACTTCAACAGTGTATATATATATATGCACTCTGCCTTGTCAACTTACTTGTAAATGAATAAATAAATAAATAGATAAATAAATAATAATACATGTATATAATATATAGAGTACCATATTTCCAGATTGGCATGAATCCTTAGAGAAGAGCAGCTCCTCCTCAGCTTAGGTTATTAGGCAGCAAGTACTATAATAACTATAAGAAGCACGATGCCAAAAATCACCAGTAGCAAGCAAGTCTGTGCATGGCAATCAAAGTAAAATATCAGAAATCCAAATCCATCCATCCATATGCTTTCTTTTATTGGATATATCATATCATATCATATATGTATTGAAACTCACCAGAGATGAATTTGAGCGCTGTGTCTTTGATGCTTTGACAAGCTGTGATTTTCCCTGAGCAGTTGCAGCATGGGCACCCTCGATACTTGACCCAATATCATCTGGCAACACAAATAATTTATATATATAATCTACGATTCATTCCTTAAGCGCAATAGGATAATCATTATATATGATGATGGGTGCAAAATCAATTACCAATCATAGTTCCTTGCTCGTGAACCAGTACAGCAAGATCCTTGAAAATCTCATTCACTTCACCAATTTGCTGTTGTATATCTTGTATCCCCTGATCTCTTTCGTCTATAATTGCCTCATTGAAAGCAATCTCATTGTCCAACAACAAAACCTCTTGCCTGCAACATAAATATATATAAAAATTTATGAATTTGCCATCAACACAATTCCAAATGTTCGATTATATGGAAATGACAGCAATATTTTTTTAGCTTCACAAATACTTCATTTCTACTGAATCATCATCATCTCATGTATTTTCACCACCTGTTCTTTCAGTACTTCCTTATAATTATTATTCTCTTTAGGAAGAACTTACAACAGTACGTCTGGAATGAATTTCTATATTAAAGCTCTACAAGTGCAAGCAAGCATGACTAAACCCCCAGCATATTCGGTGTTCAAACGCAGTGCCCACTATCTATCAATTGACATAATAGTTGCTTTTTGTCAAAAAAAGTCGAGAATAATTTAATACAAGGGTATTTGAAAAAAGAAAATATTAATTATTTTCAAGTTAAAAGTACCTTCTAGATTCCACGAGAAGAGCTCGCTGTTCTGGAGTCTTATCTGAACTTACATCTATCTCACCAGCTGTGTAACTGCATGCAGGACATACTAGTTAGCTGAAACAAAACTCACTACTGGAAAACTATGTTCTTTTTCCAAGTTTTGCAAATTCAATATTACCGATATTTTTTTATGGAACTAGTACAAGGAAAAAGATCAAGCAGAGATGCTTAATCTAAATCTTAACCTCCATAACTGATTACCTAGAAGGAAGTACTGCTTGGGGAACAAAAGGAGTATACGATGTCTCCCTCTCGGCTGCAAGGCGCTGAGCCTTCTGAAACTCTTTTAGAACTGCTTGAAAGTCTTTTGCTAATTTAGCATCTGTTATTTTTTTGCTCGCCTGGACCAACCAAAAGGCGATGAGATGATTTCGAAAAGTGAAATTTACTGCTTCACGCCTTCACCCATATTAAACATCTAAAGATTACTAATTACTAGCATCAGATTTTTTTAAGTTTCAAGGTATAAAAAAAAGAGAGAGAGCATATGATAAAAATGGAGAAGAAAGAAAAAAAAAATATAATAAAAAGAACTACCATATGTTAACAATTGAAGCAAACTTACACTGACTTCAACACGATGGTCTGTCTCACTAGCTTGCTTAAGTTTAGCTGATGTATCCTTCACCAATTGTCCTATATGTAGCCGTGTTTTATGCCTGCAGTTGAGAAAACCAGCATAAGAACCATCACATGTTGATTTCAACATAAACTATATGCATGACATCTCGATGAAGATCATCCCATCTAAAAAGAGCTTCAGTAAACACAAAATAAGCTAAGTCCACGAACAAGTACCCTAGTAATTATCATATGCTTTAGTATCCTACACCAACGTTATATTCTCTTGGCATTAAAACACATTGCAAGTGATAAATCGGAGATGACAAATGGCAAAAAGTTTTGCAAATGCAAATTGCCTTAATCTTTATAACGTAGACAATGCAAAGTGCGCAAATAGCAAAATAGCGACCAAACTTCAAATGTTTCTGTCGTGGTGCTGTCTATGTACCAACTGAAAATACCATGAAACACCAAAGCCCAACCATGGACTCCGATATCTAATTTACGCCATACATACACTAAAGTACTCTAAATCGTGCAGCCTTAACATGTCCATGCTCCAATATCTGCTATCACTAAGTCCATATAGGTCTAAAATTTGTACGAAAAATGTCCAACACTTAAAGTGGATATCAGATAATACTAATAATATGTTGCATTCATATTACGAATTTGAATTTCCCAGCTGAAATGATAGGATAGAAGAACATCCTATTGATCAACACTGAAGAATATGGGAAGATAACTAGAGCAGAAAACATTATCTTGGATATACTTATGACAAGCTGCGATATGGCAAGAATCTAGCATAAGAATTTAGGAAGGAATTAAGCAAGAGAACTTCATATCCAGACATGCAGATTATAGATCAAGATTTAGAACCAATACAATTTCATGTAAGTTCACTGTCCACTCTACAGATATCCACAATAAAACACTTCTAAGCAATCTAGTTTCCAGCTGTAGCAGAAAGTCACAGACACAGTGAAAAGATTATTAAGATACACTCGTACACACAGAAGTTTCTCCTTTCTTATACAGATAGGCTACAGTGGAACAATCAATCTCTTTCATTACACGATCACAATGGGCTAGTATGTCATCTCAACTTTTGCCCATTACAGTATTGAACAAGAACAATTAACTAAAGAAACAGAAGGGAGAAAAAACCAAATAATCCAAGTCAAAGTAAAACCAATGTTAAATAGCTCAAAATTTCAAGCTATACTCCCCCCTAAAGAAACTTTCAACAAACACTTATCCTTCAAGAATTGAAGGGTCCAGCACAACTTTGGTTACCATCATCCCCTAAACAACCAATATTTTATATTCTGGTCTAGAAATAGTTTCGTAGCCACAGTTAGATTTCTTTGGATAAGAAAATATAAAGACTCCAGAAAAGCCTCTGATCAAAGTGAGAGAACACCATAATATCCTGTATCTCCTAAAATACTTGTCAAGAACTATTGCATAAGATTTCATGTGTTTAAACCTGAATCATCAAATGATCAAAATGACTACAAATTACAACCATGGAGCAGTTAAGATATATTATTTGCTTAGGCAACTTAGCTAGTTTTATCACATGTAACATGAAATGCCAATAAAAAAATAAAAAAATTGGGCCATTCCAAATGCAGCAGCTTAAATGCACAAATCAGAATCAAAACATCTGCAAATTCAACTCAAGATGATGCTAATTTCTACATCCACAAAATTCAACCTCATACACACCTCCTTGATATAATGAACACTAGGAATTCAGGAGAGAAACAAAAAAAAAAAAAAAAAAAAAAAAAAAAAAAAGAAAGAAAACTAACAGCTTTTCGCGGAGCTCGGGGGTATCCTTGGGAGTACCGAGGGCGTTAACGAGGCGGTGGAAGGTGGAAACGGCGGTGTTGATCTGAAAAATACCAGACGCCACCGCCTGTGATGGATCCTGCTTCCCATTTACATACCCCCTCCGGGCCCCACCACTTCCACGACCCGATTCTAGATCTTGAAAACTCATTTATATCCTGTAATTTCTCCCAATTCTATTATATTCCAGCTGCTGCCACGGCGAGCTGGATAATTCAGGGTATGCCGCCGGCAACGGGAAATGGAATGAAGGAATAATTGATATTATTGATGGACGATAATAATAATAAGAGGGAAACTAAAGAAGAAACAAAGAATTTGTATTAACTTTCTTCCTATTATTATTAATTATTAAATTATTAAATAAATAAAAGGAGAGAATGATTAGAGACGTGGATTATGCGCTGGTTGGTTGGTTGGTTTAGGAAGAGGCAACACCTGCACCCGCATCTTTGAAAGGGGGATAATTGTCTACACCCCAATTTCACTCTTCTACGCCTCTCATTGGTTTGCATGCTCACTCTAGGCACTTCAATTGGGAGTCCCATGCCACATAGCATATTTGGGAAGGTTAGAAGAGAGCACCAGATGAGATAAAAGTATCGTAAACTTCCAAAATTTTAGGGATCTAACAAAATTAGTAAATTGGGGGTGACACTACAGATGCTCTAAGGGGTGATAGACAAAATAAGCCCTATCGAAGACACCGGTCGATAAGAAAAATTATGCTGCTATACTAATGTACAGTTAAACCTCTATAAATTAATACAGTTGGCACTAGGAAAATTCTATTAATTTAGCGAATTATTAAATTACCGAGTTAATATTTTAATGCATTTTGACTGAGTCGAGACCTAGAGAAACTATTATTTTATCGAGGTTCTACTATGGGTCATTTACACAAAAGGTGCAATAGTCAAATTATTTTATATAAATGGTGTAATTTTTATGTTGCTAACATGAAAGGTGTAAATCGCATTGGGTAGTTACGATTTCTTACATTTCGGTCCCACCGACTTAAGCAAACAAATAATGTCCCAACATTTAGGCATAAATGAGTTATCGTTAGAATTTCCACCCCACCAAAACTTTCTAAGAGAAGCATCAGTTTTTTGGGAAATGCAGGAAAGAAGGAGAGAGATAGACATATGGTAAGTGGGAATGGACATAGCAACAGAAGAAACGTGAACGCTTCTGCCCGCTTGGGAAAGAGTTTTGGCCTTCCAACCACATAACTTAGAATTGATTTTAACCATAAGATCTGAGAAAGAGTCTTTCTTGGGTTTAGAGTAACAAAATGGTAAACTGAGGTGTTTTTTTTTTTTTTATGGGAGCATTCTTTAAAGCCAAGCAAAGAAAGAATAGAGCTCTTAAGGGAAGGAGAGGAATTAGAACTGAAGTGAATGGAGGATTTTGAGGGGTTTGGAAGTTGAATGGATCATTGGGAGAATTTATCCAGGCAGCCCTTGATGCACTGAGAATCCTCCATGGAAGACCTACAAAAAATGATCAAGTCATCGGCATAAAGTAAATGAGAGAATGAAAGAGCTGATCTAGAAATTTTAACACCCTTAAAATGCCCCGAAATTTCTTCGAAATTAAGAATTCTAGACAAAACCTCGGTATAAAGAACAAAAAGGAAGGGAGAGAGAGGGTCTCCCTGCCTAATACCTCTGGAAGGAACAAGAAAACCAATAGGGGAGCCATTAATAACGAATGAAAAAGAGGAAGTGGACAAACACAGCATTATCCAAGCAATGAATTTATCGCAAAAGCCAAGATTAGATAAAATGCATTCAATAAGCTTCCATTCAACTCTATCAAAAGCTTTGGCCAAATCCACTTTCACAGCCATCACACATTTCTTACACCCTTTTTTTTTTGTGCATAAAACTCATGATTTCCTGAGAAACAATGTTATTCTCATGGATATTTATATCCTTAACAAAAGCCATTTGGAAATGGAGAAATGATAGAACAAAGCAAATGTTTTAATTTATTAGGTAAGATCTTTGAAATCACTTTTAAGTAACATTTCAAAGGCAAATAGGCCTAAATTGTTGGATTTGGGAATGAGAGCAATGAAAGTATGATTTAAAGATTTTTAGAAAATTTGAAAAAATGCTGAACAGCAGCAACAAAAACTTTTCTAGTAGTTTTTCAAAAAGATTTGTAAAACAAGGGGAGAGACCATCAGGGCCACGGCTCTTATTCGAAGCAAAAGAAAAATAGTCCTTTTTATTTCATCCAAAGAAGGTATAAAGCAAAGATCATCATTTATACCTTGAGAGATAACAAAAGGAAAAAGGTTACCCAAATGACTGGGGGGGGGGGGGGGGGTCTATCATCAACAAAACCAGATTTAAAAAGGTTGTTGTAATAATCCAGAAAACAAGTTCCAATTTGTTCACAATTGAAGACAATCACATTATCTTTATTTCTGACAGAAACAATGTTGTTATTTCTAGCATGAATAATAAAAGAAATATGAAAGAATTTACTATTAGCATCACCCTCTTTTAACCATTTTTTTTTTTTTTGCTTTTTGTATCCAAACAATCTCAGCTCTCTTAAGCCCATCATCGAGGTCAATTAGTAGGTTATTCTCAATAGAACAGTTTCACAAGAGTGATCAAGGGATTGCAACGAATGAATTTTATCTTGGAGGAATTTGATGGACGAATGGCAATTGCCAAAATGAGAAAGATTCTATTTTTTCCAAGCTGATCTAACATTTTTTAATCTTGGAATGAATCTGGAAAAGGGGAGAATCAGTAACTGGGAAATTCTAGGCCTGAGAGACAATGTCAAAATATGATGGATCTTCGAGCCACGTGGCCTCATATCTGAAAGGCTTGGGCGAATTGGAGCTGGATATAGAAGTATTGAGCAACAAAGGGCAATGATCAAAGGCAAAATTAGGGAGATGGAGGATGCTAGAATCATGAAAAGATGGGATCCAAAGAGGATTTGCAATACCCCTGTCGAGTCTTTCTTTGATATTAGTAATTCCTTGTCTTTTGTTGGTCCAAGTAAAAGGATTACTATGATAGCCCAAGTCAATTAGACCAAGGGCATTGATATCAGACAACAAAGATTGATTTGAGGAGGAAGCAAAGGGGAGCCCCCTCTTTTTTCAGCTTGAGAAAGAGTTGAATTGAAATCTCCAATAACAAGCCATGCACCAAGGAATTCCTCAGAGATAGAATTGAGAATGTTCCAAAATTGGAGTTTTCTAGTAGGAGAACATCGGCAATAAATGTCGGTAAATTGCCAAGGGGTAAGGGATGGATCAGATGAAATAAAGACATTAATAAGGAAAGAGTTTGAAGAGTGATATCGATTCAGAGGAAGGAAGTCCAGGCAAGACAGAGGCCTCTCGCTAGACCAATTGGAGGCACAAAAACTTGATTTAGGACTGAAAACTTATAAAACAACGGATTTTATTGCTAACATTATTGCTAACGAAATTAGTGTCCGGGGGACTTTTAGCTAATTCCCCTTTTAATTAAATGGCAAAGTTCACTTTGCACCCTTCAATTATGGGTTGTGTCTCATGCACAACCATCAATTACGAAATGTACCAAATACCCCATCATGACCCTGTTATGTTTGTATTCCTTTATATTGACATCATCTATTGACTTTCTTGTTGCTTTTTTTTGGATTTTTTTACCCCCATTGTGTAAAGGTTCAAAGCTTATATATGTGCCTTCTTGTTTTTACCTTTATTTTTCCTGATTTTTTAATTTGAAATTAGTTCATTTTTGCTAAAAAAAATTCTTAACTGCACTATAATATCTGGCTCTAATTGTTATCAATAGTAATACTAACCAAACCATATTAGTAATTGAATACCTGATTTTGATTTTTTTAATTAAACCAAATATCTTAAAATAAAAGATTAAATCAAGATAAGCATCTCACTTAATATAAGTCAAACCATTAATATATTCAAACTCCGCAAACAAATCTCCATAATGAATTTTAATTACAAAAAAATTATCTACCATTATAACTGTTGAGTGTATATTTTACACTCAATGTATACTTTCTTACGAGGATTTTTGTATACTTTTATTGGTTTAATGGTGCTTAATGAGTGATTTTTTGTATTTTAGGTACAACTTGACGATTTGGGAGTTCCAAGGATGAAACGAGCCAAAAAAGGTAAAACGGAAGAAAACAATCGGATGCTGAAAATTGGTCCGGCGCGGCCGTGCCAGATTTAGCCTATTTTTGGCGCGGCCGCGCCAACTGCAGAATTTGGGCAGAAAGTTTCGGCGATTCTCGCGCGGCCGTGTGAAAACACGCTGGAGACAGTTTTGGAGTTTTAATCACACAAGGAAGACTAAAATCTTTTATCAAGTGGGGACATCTATTTAAGGGCAAACCAAGCACGAATTAAAGGACTTTGTAACACAATCTTAGAGAAGAGGAGCGAGAGAACGGGGAAACGAAGACGAAGACCTGACGAATCTTCATCATAATTCTTCTTTCATCTATCTTTTCTAAATCTATGACTTTTATTATTTTTATTATGTTTTTCGTAGAGAACATGAGTAGCTAAGTTTTTAATCTAGGATTTTGTTGGAACCCTATGTGGGGATGGTGAACCCGTTTTCTTAAGATTATGCAATTATGATTTTATGATTATTTCTTCTCCTTGTTATGATTGTTAGTGCATTAACCTGATCAATTTATGTGCTTTATCTGTGATTATTGGGATTGACTCGACAGAGCTATTTTGATAATTAGACGTTAAGTATAAGAATATTCGAGTAGTTTTCACCGGATTAGTGTGTTAATTGCATGTGGTATCGTAGACATACAAATATTCAGCTTAGGTAATCATTGTTGAGACTTATGCTTTAATGCTTTATTCATGATCGGATTGCATAAACATATAGTAATTTGGTTTTGGATAATAGAATTATAATATACGCGACAACGGGTTATAATTAATATAGTGTCTCAGATTAATAATCAGGAATCATATATTTCATAATTGAGGGGTTTTGGGTGAGCAATTCTTGCATAGGGAAAGATAAAATCCTAGATCCGTTTTTATTGATATTTTCTTGTGTTTATTTGTTTTTAGCTTTAATTTTATTATTTAGTTGATTAAATTTGACAACTTTGCGTAGGCTGGATAAAAATTATAGTTGTTAGAATTCGGTACTTAGGATTAGATAATTTGAGTATTCCCTGTGGGATCGACATCCGACTCTCACGAGTCCACTTTTACTACTTGTTTGCGATACGTGCACTTGCGTGTTAGATATTTAGCCCAACAATAACCTAAAAAAATATGTTCAACTTAATAGAATATTAAAATGAGCTAAACAATTTCTTAATAGTCGTCGAAATAGTGTTTAAAAGATGAGTTATGTTGGAAAAAAATGAAGGGAATATAGTGAGTTGAAGTTGTATTTTTTATTTTGGCTGAAATATTTGATAAGTACTAAATATAGCATATATTTTGTATAGACTAAAAGGTGGGGCTAAGATTGTCCATTGCTCAATAAAAGATTACAAAACTAATATGTTTTTAGATTTTTTAAGATTGATGGAAAAATATAGTGGAATATTGGGTACTTTTGGTAATCGAAGGAAATATATTTGATTTGAGGGGTTGAACTTTGAAGGTTTTTACCCCCAAACAGCCCTTTCAATCTCCATTCCAATCCCTAAAAGTTCAAAGAGGCGTACCCTTTTGATCTTCGTTGTGTCGCGCACGACACAAACAAATCTCATTTACTGGTAAGTAACATCGAACCTTTTTTATTTCCCTCCCAATTTTGTCGTTCTCTTTCATTTCTTCATATGAATTTTGGGATTATTCCGCCGGATTATGGAAGTTAATGGCTTATTCGATTCTTTTCTAACATTCTTTTTGCTCGATCCTTTTCAAAATTTCACTGGGTAGAAATTTTTTAGGGTTTTACGACAGAAAGATTTTGCCTTTGCGGATTTCCTCTGATATTGAAGGTTCTTACCTCTATGCCTTCTGGTTTGGTATCGTCGTTACATGATTGTATAATAATTTTGGAAGGAGATAAATGTTAGTATATTATATATTTTCCGACATTTTCGAATTAGTTATCAAGGAAAGTACTTTAACTTACGTTTGTTTCATGTTGATTTGTGTCTCTCAGAAATTGATTGTTCTATTCTCTGTTTTACTTGACTCAAGTATGAAGATGTGTTGGTGTTATAGTCTTATAGATGATAGTTAAATGATGTAGGTTGCTGATGAATCTGCGTTGTGTTCTATCTCTTTTCGAGAATAATGTGCTCAATTGATCCGCTGGATTTGCTAATATATGATGGATTTTATCATATTAGCTGTCAAATTGCTACTTAAGATTGAAGAATATACATGTTTTTATCAAAAGCTTCAAATTATGTTCTTCAAGATTTTACTTGACATAGTTCTCAAGGGATAGGAGATATCGGGGATGTGATAGGTAGTATCTAAAGAGAACTTTAAATGGAACAATTTAGCTTTTTGGATCACATCTTTGACCTTTTTGGTTTACTGTCCGTAAAATGACCAACTTTAGTGAGAACTTTAAAAAGACTGAAAAGATGAACATGTGTAGTTTCTATTACTTTACGGTTAAAAATCAATTGTTGTTACTTAAATGTATAAATGTAAATTCGACTATCCCAATAAAAGGGATGAAATAAATTTAAAATTAGAGTTTCATGCTATTTCTAAGATTGACTGGAAGGACGAACATGTGCACGTTATTCTTTTATATATATATATATATATATATATATATATATATATATATATATATATATATCATTTATTATTTATTATTATCTTTGGTTATGTGTAATGTCATTTTAGTAAGTATTAATACAGTTATAATAATATAGTTCTTCTTTTCTTATGAGTTACTTTTATTATTATTTATTGCTTTAAATTTTAAATCGTGTATTGGTTATTGTTTATGGGATGATTATGGTGCGTGTTGGATCATTATTAGTCCAATGGTTGAACCGATCATCTTTGATCAGATCTGGGTGATTTTTTATTCGATTAACTATCTAAACTTTAAATATTAATTTAATTTATACTTCATATATTCCATTACTTTGTTAGTTTTTTTAATAGGTAATATTTTGAGCAAAATATTAATTTATCATGTCAAGAAATTTATTGTATTGATTGTATAATAAAACATATTCTCAATCTTTTTCAAATCTATTTTCTTAGTTATTTATTTGATAAAAAAAACAATAGTAGTAGAGGCACTTCGGCTTATCCATATGTACATCTGAGAGGTCTTTCTCTTCCTTATTCTCAGGTGAATTTTTTTATGTGTAAAACCCTTTCGCCTCAATAAGGTTTTGGTAAAAATCGAGCTTCCTCTTTTTCAGGTTCGTATTATCTCTGTCTTTTCCCCTCTCTTTTTTAGATTTAGATTTTTTGTGGTTATCTTTGTCAGCTTCATTTTTTATTATATAAGTTGTATAATTTGTTTTGAATTTATACAACTTTGTATGTGAAGGGAATCTGGACGTTAAGGGAATAACATATTTATTGAAACTGTTAATTGCGATTTAAAACGATGATCATATTGTTTGCTCTTTTAGAGAAAATTTGGATATTCACCTTTTGATTTTTCGTTTTATTTCTATGTTTTTGAAGATTTTTGGACATGGATCTGATATTCTTTTTGTGTTCGATATATAATAGATTTAAAATGACTGATCTCTCAATGGTTTGTATTGGTTATTTTATCATCTGTGTTTACATCTTATTTAGATTGTCCTGCATACAGATCTTTGGGGCGTGAAAAAGGTACTTGTTTAAATATTGGCTGAAAAATAAATAGAGAATGATAAGATTATAGTTGAATAAATGTGCTGCTTTGCTTTGTTGCCCTTGAGAGAAAAAAAAGAGGATTTGCAATTATTGAATGATTATATTCTTCTGTTTATGAGCATAACCATGCATATGAATGATGAGGAAACAACCTCATCATTCATATGAGTTCCTTGTAACAGACTGAATGAGTCAGTTTTATTGTGTAAAAACAAATTTACTTTTCAGTTCGTTAAACAAAAACTGACCGACAAATTGTGATGTTTGGGTCATAACATAAAACATAATGTCTTTATGAGTTGTAAGTGAAAATAAATGCTGAACTGAAGATCAGTAATCAGTTAAGTTATTCATTTTACTACACAAACTGAATCAGTAGTGTATAAAGAACTAATTTGAGTTCATTACACTAGTTTCTGCCAAGGTTTTGAGGAGTTTATATTGTTGCCTGTATTTTATGTAGATTTTCTATTTTCTACGTTGTGCATTGTATTTTGTCAATAATGTTTTTCTTTGACCTATATTTGGTGCAAATTATTCTGTTTTTTTGTGAAAATGTCATGCGCTCAGTAAAAAGTTGTGTTTAGTAAAAGTTGCCTTGCATTAAGCATTTCAGTTCTTGTTAATTAATTGGTGTAAAAACATATAAATTAAGCAAAGAGAAAAGGAGACCTGGAGAAAAGAAAAGCGATGAACTCTTAATAGCTAAATTACAAACTAAACAACAAAAATACTATTGTAAATCTACTAATAAATAGACAGTATGAAAGAAATAGATATATGCTCATACATCCCTAAAAATGCGTCAAAGCATTAGCAACTCTTCTACGTGAAAGCAGAGGAGAAAACATAGACAACTATATACTCATAAGAAATAGGAATCAATGGCATAACTATCCAACTTTTCGAATGCTGATAGACTAGAGTAACGCGTGAGCAGATTCTTAACATCTACTACAGTTAGAAATATTATAGGATGGTGTGGAAATGCCCAACAAAATTTTCTTCCTCTTACCTTTTTAGGCTCGATGTTCAGTCTGCTTCTTCAATTTTTTTGAAAATTGAAGATACAGAATTTCCTATAACGTGTAAGGTTACAAGAAGATGCAAAAAATTATAAACATTGACCATACACTTTATTTAAATCTAAAGAATTTGTTCCTAACCATTTGCATTCTTCAGAGCAATTATAGTTGGTAACTACTATCACTCGTGTTACTCTGAATGCAAAAAATAATAATCTTGTTTGGAATCTTTATATCATTAAATAAATTGAAAAAAATTATCTAAACTTACACAACAAGTGGAGCAAAACAAGTACAACTTATTATTGAACAAGTTGCAGGTATTAGTAAAGAAAGGCATTCTCCTGATATGTAGGATATAGAAGTTGATAGTTTAGTGATTACAGAGTAGTTCATCTATGAAAGTAAAAATTGGAAAAATAAACCGAGAAGACAACCTTTTTTCTGTGACAGTAAACATTTGTGAGTGCCTTTCTGTGGGAAATGAGAAGCTTGTCTTATAGCTTCCTCTCTCACTCCTTATTGCATTCTCTCTCCTCCCTTTCAAAATGAGTTAGTTTCAAATCCAGACAGAGGGTTCTATGTTTTTGTGGATTATGGAGCACTACTGTGTAGCTGTATATCCTTACACATTAATTGTCGTAGGAAAATTATCTGCCATTTTCACTCCATTGTGATTCTTGAGCAACAAAGTGTTAGTGATATTGGGAGTCAGAATAGGTTGGTGACGTTTCCTATATTTGTTATTTTCGAGCATGTATCCGATGATTCTGCTTTTCTTGCAGTAGAGTGAATTCCGACCTGAATATAATGTTGGACGAAATTGCTGGTTCTGTTTTTATTTATTTTTGTCTCTTTTTTTCAATAAATAGAGTAGTGAGCTTGTCCTAATATATGATGTGCAATCATCAAGCAGGAATCATTTACTCATAAATTAGTTGTGAGCTACCTTACAATTTAGCTAGTGAAAATTCTCTGAATATGAATGTGAGACACCAAATTGATAAAGTACTTATCTTTTCTCTCGTCATTTCTGCTGGTCCAGCTTGTGAGTGACTATAATTAGTGATGGGGTAAAAAAATCTTGGTATACAATGCCAAGAAGTTGCCTAAGTGCTTCACTGTTAACAATATATTTATTTTGTTTAATTATGTGTCATGTGACAAAAAATAATTCAAAATACGAGAACACTGCTATCCCTATTTTTATAGATTTTGATAAGCCTCTTGGATAGCCAAGGGAAATTGTGGTTTCAGGTAGAGCTTTGTGCAATAATTTTTTGATTTTGTGAAAACTATATCATATTTGCTAGTACAGTCGTAGCATCTATGTTAGTACATGTGCACAAATATTGGTAATGCTTCATGTTTCTTTCCTTGTTTGAGGGAAATAAATAAATAGATAAAAGCATCACACTGCTCATGCTTCATGTTTCTTTCCTTGTAATAAAGTATTATTTTTGGCATATGTTTTTTTTATCAGAAGCAAGGTCGAAGAGAGGGTAATGGAACTAGCAGACAGGGCTATCGGCTTGCTTTTATCAGTAATCAGCTTGTCCATTTTCACATATTATACCTTGTGGGTTATCATCCTGGTTAGTTAATTGTCTCCTGAGTTGTTTATTATATTTATATTTTGAATCTATATAACTGATAAACAACATTTAATCTTGTTTCAGCCATTTGTAGACAGTGACCATTTTGTGCACAAGTACTTCCTGCCTCACGAATATGCCATTCTAATTCCAGTATACGCTGGTGTGGTTCTGATCTGCTTCATTTCCATGTTTGTTGGATATGTGATGCTCAAATCCAAAAAGAAAAAGGCTTGAGATAAATTATCATTGGTTGAGTTGATTGCAATTTGTTTCTTACATGACATTGTTTCTTGTATCATACTACTTCATAATAACACAAACTCTGTAGCAGATTTCAATATTGGTCAATACTTGAGGAAACTAGAACTTGCAGTGTTTTTAACTTTTAAGTAGTTAGTAGATCAAAAGAGAATAAGAAGCAAGGAGAATACTTTGGGATTTGCTACTGAGCACTTTTTATTAGAGCATTATGGCACTATACATGAAATAGGGACAATGTTTTTTTTTTTTTCTACAATAGTTTGACTTCTTTATTACAGAAATATGGTATTTTTGGTTTGATTTCATTTTTATCTCACATTTGCAAACTGCGCGTCATAAGGAGACAACAAGTGGCGACGTACTGTTTGCTTTGAGAAAACAATTTCCTTAGTTGCGTGTTATAAGAAATTGACATGTGGTAGCAGACGATTTTTTCGAGGCAAATTTTCCAATTGCGTGTCATAAGGAGTTTGTATTTATTTTTGCAGTTTTTATTTTCTTTGTTTAATTTTTTTAATTAATAAAATAATAAGGAGACCATTTAGTTAAGGGTTAAATACAAGAACACCCATGTACTATCATCTTTGTACATCCTCTGTACTACACATAAATACAAAAACCCCCTTCATATTACATTTTTTTTCAAAATATGACAAAAATACCCCTACTCAAGCATATATATATATATATATATATATATATATATATATATATATATATATATATATATATATATATATATATATATATTCGTTTTCTACTATATATTTACCATTTTCAGTCAATTTTACGTGGGAAATTTTGGTATTTCATATTTTTTTTCTCTAAAACATCTAATTGCTTAGATTTTTTTAATTTTCTGAATAAAACCTTTTATTTTTGTCAGTTTGAGTTTCTTCATTTTTTTTTTCTTAAATATCTTCCGGTAGTTCAAACATCCTAAGATTACAAACATCTTTACAATACTATGATCGTTGAGAATTTGAACTACCGAAAGACATTTAAGAAAAAAAATGAAGAAATTCAAATTGAAAAAAATAAAAAGGTTTTATTCAGAAAATATAAAGCTTAGCGGGGGTATTTTCGTCAGATTTTGGAGAATATATAAAGCAGTAGAGGGATTTTTGTATTTATGTGTAGTACAGGGGGTATATGATACAAAGTCCATAGTACAAGGGTGTTTTTGTATTTAACCCTTTAGTTAATTAAAAAGTTTTTTGTTTTGAAATATTATTTTGTATATTCAAATTTTTAATTAAAAATTATAAAATGTTTAATTAATAAAGTTATTTTAATTAAATTAGTTTTTATTTGAATAACTAAATATAAACATAAAGAAATTATAAATTAAATAATATTATAAATAAACGCAAGAATAAGAAATTTTGAGTTTCAACAATAATTTTGGTCAAATATGTGACATATGGCTCTCGGTGCCACACCCCAGAAGCCTTCTAATTTTGTGCCCTCTACCAAGATGACCACTCTCATCGAGCTGCAATGTTAATACTCGATGGATCTGTGGGCTGAAATATGTTGGTATCGAATGGAATAGGTGTAAGTTGTACGATCTTCATTATTATTGAATACATGATAATATCCAGCAGAAGTAATTATAAGCGTCGTAGAAGTTCCTACCTCCCCGTCGTACATCTCCGTAAATCTAGAAGGCATATATGAGACTCGGGTATCTGCGTCTGTGACTGAGGCATCTGAGTCTGATATTGAGGCCTCTGAGATTGAGGCATCTGAGTCTGGGGCATATGTGCAGGGTCTTGTCGATTTTCGTGTGCGGAAAGAGCCGTTCTGAGCGTCGGGAGATACGAACGAAAGTCATCCTCATGTATGGCTCCATCATAGATAGAAATGATCAACGATCGAAGCTGCTGACTCTGAGATAAACAAAAATATAATAAGTTGTATAAAATATATTATTTTGACACAACAAATAAAGAAAAGAAAAAATACACTAAATAAATTTAAATGCATACCACTGTATCCATAGAAATATGTCCTCCAACTTAAAACTTGTACTCTCAACTGTGGTAATCGGTGATATGAACCGACGAGTGTGCAAGTCATACCACTCAAAATAACTTGTCTCTGTAGTCGGTCCATCATTGACAAATGGATAACGAACACTATAGTTCGATCTCTGCTCCCATGCAAGGATATAGGAAGCATGAGTTGATCTCCAATCTCGGTTAGTGGTACCTCTATGTTGCCTAGACGCATGCCACTGAAAGTCTACTTTGCGGTTTTCCGGATTTGCAGGTATGTGTTGTATCATCCCAAACTGTCGTACCATCATCTCTGGTCGATGCATCTCTACAACTGCGTAGCATATTAAAGGGACTCTCGTTGTCCAGATACTCTCACGATAGATCATAGGATCCTGCCCTAGAAATTCAAACTCAGGATCGTTAACAGAATACGACATCCATATAAATTGTCCCGGGAGCATCTGGTCAAGCATCATCCTGAAAAGACGAACAAAGTGTGCACAACTTATGTGCTGATGTGCATCCAAACATACTGCAAGCAGTATTTTATGTTTCTATTTAGTGTACAAATGAGTTCCATCGACGTAGACTACCGGACGGCAATATTTGAAACCTTCAATACACTGCTTGAATGCCCATAAGACGTACTTGATTATGTGTTTAGTCGGATGAACAGTCGGATGATGTTCCCACTCAACAGTTGTACCTGGATTCCTTCGTTGCAATGCTTTCATGTACTTTGGCAACTTCCTGACTGAACTCTCCCAAGTTGCATATACGTTTTTCCAACATCGCTTCAAACTGCTATGCCTTCATGTAGGATATTTCGTATCCAACTTGTGCAGTCACAACTTCTCTTGCCGTTGAAATTTTGCACGTCGGATTATTAAGCACACTTGTCAACATAATTGCGGCAAATAATTGATGTTCAAATTGCCATGATTGTTTGTGATTCCACGCATGACACAATTATGATCCCTATCATAGATCGTTATCTTCCATTGTCTACTATCACCAGTTCTCGACGCTCTCATCCTCCATCTGCAAGGTCTAACTTCAGTGCCGTGTTTGCAGATAACTCTTTATGTCCTTTTCGCACTTTCGATTACTTTGAACTCCCGTTTGGCCCATCGAATGGAGTGGTCTTTGACGGCACATATGACATGTGCTTCACTCTAAAAAATCATCTCCTTTTTTAGAGTCCCATTGTTGCTATCATAAAATTTTGACCATATCCCCGAAAGAACATCAATGGAATCGACTAGAATTTCAGGAAAGGACATGGAATAGAAAGGCGGTGGATCATAGAATTGATTAGGTTGTTCAACAAAGGAGGGTACGTTAACATGTACAAGGGGGGCTGATGTACGAACATCATCATCAACGGCTTCAATATTCTCATCGTCATTCTCACCATCATTCCCATCACATCTTTAGGATCAGAGGGTTCGAAGTCACTAGGATCATTTGAGCCATGTGCGTCTCCGAAAGGATCATCATCATTATTGATATCATAGTGACGAGAGTTATTAGGAAGATTATGAGTATTTCTTGCATGGCTTGATTCCCCAACCGACCCATGATTTCTATAAGAAGACCCGACTTTAAAGCCCATACTTGAAAACCCTTGTGTAACCGCAAATAACTCAGGAGTTGTTTGCATAAAAGAATTGTACGGTTCATTCAAATCAATCGGATTGAATTCTGGTTGTGATGAAAAAGTTGGCATGTCAGGATTATAAATAGGATGTGAAGGTATCGCAAGGGAATGTATAGGAGAATATACATGTTCTGATGTAGTGAATTGTGAAGGCATCAAATGATTGTATATAACTTGAGATTCAACAAAAACATCTATTAAATTGTTTCCCTCATCCGAGTGAAGATAGATTTCTAAATATCATCGCTTGTATCAGAAACTATCACTCTCCACTGGTTTAGATATCATCGTGATATCTTGCTAAACACTGGTAACACAAATTCACTACTGTCTATTTGACAACGTGTATATATTTTGGCCAAAAAGTATGAGAAAGATATATCGCGTTTAACTCGTATAATTGTATGATGAGATCGGCCATAATTCACTGTCAATCCGTCCTTAATAATATGACCTCCTATGTACACAAAAACCTTGACAGTATCTCTAGCCGGTGTCGCCATTGAAACCCTAAATTTTAATATTTGGAAATTATCATTATTATTTTGAATATTTAATCATAATTATATTATTATTTTCTTCATGCTTTAGTTATACATTTTGAAACTACACAAAATGATAATCTGGAATAATAAGATAGGCAACAAATTAGTTGATAAAATAAAAACTGACAATAATTATTATAATAAATTGAGCCAACAACCTGCATATCTTACTCATCTAATTAGTAATTTCATCATTTGTGCCTTATAAATTCTTTTGAAAAGTTACTTCAAACCTTAACGAGAAACGTTTAAGGATCAAATTAGTTTTCTGACTGATTAAAGAAAATGGTTTTAATTGCTCTACTAGATGTGCGATAACATTAGTGCTAAATCAACTAAATTAAAAATATGTGTTATATTAATTATTTCTAACATCTTTCAAATATTTTCTAATTTCATTATTATTAATTTAAAACAAAAATCAAACTTATGTAGTATTTTCAAAAATTTCAAACACATACATTCAATACAGTTTAACTATTACTCTACAAATATAAAAATAATCATATTTACTAACACATAGTCAAAAAAATAATTTACATAATTTTAACAAACAATTAATTAAAATTCAAAAACATAACTAATAACTTACTGTAACTTACATAATTTTTTTTTTCTTTCTTTCTATAACTTTTTTTTCGTTTAAACAGCAATATTTCTATGATTGACGGTAATATTAACTATATTACTGTTAAACACAGTAAAATTAACTAAACTACAGTTTAACACAGTAATATTGTTATATTAATCTCTAGCACAGTAATATTAACACTACAAAACTCATTATTATTGTGTAATAGAGTAATATTACTATGTTGACCGTTCAACAAATGTAAACATAATAAAAAACCAAAAGAATTAATATTACTGTGAGTGACAGTAATATTACTATAACAACAGTAATATTACCGTCAACCACAGTAATATTACAATAATAGACAGTAATATTATTACGTTACTCCGTGAATAACTCAAACAAACAAAAAATCCAAACAAAATAATAATATTGATGTGGTTGACAGCAATATTACTATAACAACACTAATATTATCGTCAACCACAGTAATATTATTGTGTTTACAGTAATATTACAATAA